TAAAAGTTTTGGAATCTCTGTTATTTTTGACATTTTAGTAACAGTTATGCTATCACAACAGTTTCTTTAAGTAGATTAAGAAAGATAGTGTTTTCCAATGAAATGAAGCTTACAACTTTGCTTCCTCTGAATTAAAGAAATGTCTTACATTCAAACCACTTTTGGCTTTCTTTGATTTTAGCAAGCAGTTTATTGTTTCTTAGGTACCTCTGATTCTAATTTGGAGGTGAGTTTAGCTCAGTGGAATTAAAAAGTGTTGGATGTGGTTATTGCATATATTAGTTTTGTGTTATTTACACAGGAATTGTAATATTCATTTACAGAGCATGAATATTTGGGTGTTGTTTGTGCTGTTGAAAACTTTCTGTACTGATCACAGTGCATCAGAAGAATCTCCTGGTTGCTTAGTTTCAGTTCTTTGATGGCAAGAATTTTACTTCTGTGTTGTTAAATATCAATTAGATGAGCTAATGATCACAGTTAATGTATTATCTTACAACTCTTTTCAAAATTGTTAATTTTTTTTTGATAATCTTCCTGAGCATGCAATAATAACAAGTAATATTGCCTTGGAACAAGATGTAGGAAGTATGAAGTGTTCACTGAAATGTGAAACTCGTATTAAACAAAAAAGTATGACTTATAAGTTAGGGAAAAAAATTAGCACAATATTTCAGCTTCTAACCTTCTTTGTGAATATAAGATATACTAGAAAAAAGGTGCATCTTTGGAAGCTGCAATTGAGTGATAATAATTTAGTTCAATTTATCAGATTTTCAAGCATGAGTAAGTAATTAAGGTAATTATACAGGTTTTTCATATTCTAAAGCTAAGTTTGAAGGGTTATGTATATAATCAGACCATGATGTTATGTATCCCCCTCTTTTTTATATACAGATTCTTAGATATTTTTATTACTATTGTCTGGCTGGACATTTTGTATCCCTAAGACACGTAAGGTACTGAATAGAAACTTTTTTTTACAGCTGTGAGAAAATAATGTGAAGCATTCTCTGCACTCATGTGAACCTCATCAAGCATAAAAAAAGATCTGAAGCTTTGATGTTTCTAAATTTCCCTATCCATCCATTTAAATATCTTTAAATGGATGGATAGGTTCCTGCTTTGTTATATCCTTATAGTATGGCTGACTTTTGTAATGTAATTGACTATTGTTCCACTTTCTGTGATTACAGCTGAATTAGATGTTTGTGTCTAACAGAGTTATTTCCTTATCATGAGGTTTCACATTATTTAATTCTAGATGGAGGAACTCAGTTTGTCAATATCCTTATTTACAGAGGTCACTAGTAGTTGTGGAACTGAACATTCATTTACCAACATATCATTCCCAGACTGTCATGTCTGAAAGGCTTAATAAGATTGAATATTATTTTCGACACTTTTATAAGTGACACAAATTCCAATTATGCTAAATTCCTCCCTTTTATGACTTTTGGATTGCTTAATGCTTCTAATAAAAACAGTCTTTCACTGTATTTAAATATCACAGATGGGTATTTGTGTAGTATCAAGAATACTAGGTATTTCTTTTCTTTTCTTGTTCAAAGAGGTGAAAATTTCTCTTTCATTAATAATTCTTGCAATTTTTCACACATATCCTTTTTTTAAATGTAATTAGTTTAAAGAATAGAGATAGTTTTGAAACCAGACTAAAATGCCTTTGTTCTAGTTCCTTACTGTTCTGGATCATTGCATGAGTAAGTTTTATCTATGAATGCATAGTTGAATTGTTTTTCTGTTAAGATGTTAATCTGAATTAATTAGGGGTCAGCCAGTTTTTTGGAAGCCAAGAATTCTTACACCCAGGTGTCTAACCCAATTGGCAACCATATAAGATGAGTATGTTCAGTGACAGGGATTTAAACTTGCATCCCTCAGATTGTGAGTAGAGTACCAAAACCACCAGGCCATGCCAGGCTCACACATTTGACTACAATATAGCATGACAATATTATTTTCCACTGGCAGATCAGATGTTGCCTTAAGATTAAGAATGTATCCTTTCTTACTTTTGTATTGGAATGTCCAACAGTGATGTAGGTAGTGCCTGTGCACTGAGAGGACTGGCATTATAGAATTTTGTATATAGTGCTATGCTCTCTTAATTTGCAACAAGTTAAGTTAATTCAATAAGTGTTTTAGGTTCCAAAGCTTTGAACAAGTTTTATTAAAGGTAGAGACCCTAAATATAAGCCATAGCTGTCATCCTTTGAACATGTCTGGTTGATTCATGTTTTGTGTTTTATTTCCAATAAAGAACTATTTAATTTCACTGTCAAATTGTGTCCAGTCTCATCCTTCAATTCAGTCAGGAAGGAAATTCTGCTTTTAACTCTGTGCATAATTCTAATAACTTATGAATGAAAATATAGAAGAATATCTAATGATATGCCAGCCGCACTACACATGCCATATCCAGTGCCAGTACCAGGGCTTATCACTTATTTCTACATTCCTTTGTACTCTCTTTATGAACTTAAGCTGGTACTTCAAAAATATCATTTTTCATGTGAAGGACTTTTGCAAAAGATTAGGAAGATGATGAGTGACATGTTGAAACATGTAGAGTCATTATGTTGAAATGATTTAAATTGTGTATTGATTTTAATGTTGTATATTTATTATTTTAAGATTAGGAGTATGAATATGATTCATAATCTGAAAGCAAGACACAATTTGGGGGGAAGTCCTTTTATGGTCATTGCTGTTTCACAATTGACATGAAAGGCCATATCTACAATTTCTATCCAGTCACAAGCTCGTGGAGAATCAAAGTCAGGAATTTCATGGATTATTCATTTTCCTCCATGAATTTAAACTGATGCACATTTGGCATAAACAACTGAAGATTGTAGTGATGACTTGCTATCTGAGGGCCTTAAAACCAAGTGGGGAGCCAGTTATTTTGTACTTGTATACACCAAAGTCCATACCTTTAGATATGTGACTCCTGTAATGAACTTCCAAAGTTACACTGAAAGGAATCTGTTTTTAATTAATTCAGGCTGTTATAAACCATGTGGAAAAGTCCTTGTATCCTTATTTCACTGGATTTCACCTGTATTATTTTTGATCATCAAACTGTTAATACTGAGGAAAGTAATTTTGATGTACTTATTGAATAATTAGATTCTGCATTGTCTATGCCAGGGATAAATTATGTTAGGTTGGAAACAATACTGAATTTGATGAAGTTTGTTGTATTGAACATTCCATGTTAGGTTTAAGAGCAAGAGTATGTGTGTATGTGGCCAGCACTAATGACATTTCTATGTAAAATTAGTTATGGTTAACTTCGGTTTTACCATCTGTTATCAGTTATGTAATATTTAACTAGTGATTAATTTGCATTTGGGATTGGCACAGCCATAACATTAGCAGGTAATATTATTATTTTTAAATTGGTGCCCATATGTGCTAAGAGTAGAGGTGTGTATCTCACAGACAATATAAAACATGCTGTTAACTGTGACTATATTTTTTTATGTTTTATTCACTGCATAGGGGCCTATGCTATAATTAAGTATAGTTAACATTATTCTAGGATAACATATTTCCTTAACAGGTTATGAAATCTTGTTGCAGTAATAAATTGATAAAATGAATGTATAGGAGTTATCTTGAAAAATCTCTGTGTGTGTATGTGTGTGTGTGCTACGTGAAAACACACCTTCAAGCAATATATGCTGCATAAAAGTAAGATCAGCAACCCACACTGCTGATATTATGATGTCTAGGCCATGATTGTCATAATATAAAGCTCTGATACTGATAACCTTTCAAGCAATGTTTTGGTTCATTTTCAGAACCTAAGGCAATTTGCCAAGATTTGTGAATTGGAAGCATGTTATTAGTTTGAGTAGGGCATCAAGACTTGTTTTAACTTTATGAGTGATTAGGTCGGTCATTTTAGGGAAATAAGTAAGCCTTGCCTAAACATTATTGCAATCATTGTAATTTCACTATCTCAATTTTTCCTGTTAGAACACAATAAAAAAAGCAAGTACATTTAATATTTGAAACATCAACTTTCATAGTAGGACATATACCAATTTCACACAGTATTTATACTGTTTTGGAGAGTTATGCTACTGTGAAATATTATAACAAAGTTGGATTTTCATAAGAATAATCTAATTTTAGTTGCAGTGATTATATATACTTTTACTTTTAAAGATCAATTTAAAAGGTAATGTTCATAATATTTGATTTGGACTTTTCCTTTATTTCTTACAGTAATGTTTTACATGATTTTTTGAATGTATAAATACTTAGTAATGTTTAGGAAGGTCTTGAAACTTTGCAGTATGAAGATTGGCAGATTTGTTTGTCAATAACCATAAACTTCATATATAATATATATATGCCCAACTGTATACATGGACTTATTGTAATTTAATGTACCTCAATATATGATTGAGTCTAATAATGCTTGGAGATGGCTAGAATGGGTAATGAAGAAAACTTTAATATAAGTTTAACATAACAGCAAATGTACAAGGTTTGGTGATCATATGGTACAAAACCTGTTTCACTTCAACTTTATATCAGTTGTGGTTGTCGTATAACTTGCTGATTTGCATATTGAAAATGTATTTAATATAATGTTCTCAACTCTTTAATAAAAATGATAGTGACCTTTTTCCAAAACAAACCAAATCCTAGAATAAGTTATGGGTCCGTATATGAACCTCATTGGCTTTTAAGTAAATGTTTCTAAACTATTTAGCACTATATTACTTTCGTGTCCATACTCAAAATCGTATTAACTGATACTATTATATTGACTGTAACAGAGGAAGATACTTTATCTATATTTACTTAAACCACCAAAATATTATAACAGTGGAGTGTGGTATTATTTACTCTCTTTAAAACTTCATTTACTATTATGGTAATTACTAGACAATAAAAAGTTCACTGCTAATTAGATAATTGTCCATTCTACAAGTAATTTTTTACTTCTCATTCTTTAGGTAATTATTGATCTTTCTTCAGTCCCTTTAAACAAAGAAGTGCAATGGTTTTTCCTGACCAGCCATGAAGATAGCCTCAATTCTTTGCTGGTAATATGAACATAATTTTTTTTAGTAGGGTATTTCTTCTCTGATTATTATGTCGTAACTTAATTAGAATTTTTAAAATGGAAAGTAATTTACATTTGTGCTGTAAATTTCAAGACTAAAAAAGAAGTCACTTTGAATGTAGTGAGTGTAATCAAATGGATTGAACTAAACATTAGTAAGTTTTGATTACTATAAATGCATCTTAAAAGTCAAGCCTCTAATCCTTTTTTTAAAAGAAATTAAACTACCTATACAAAAAATATCTGAAGATGCAGGCATTTGGCTATTGCTGTTAATAAGTTCAGGTCACGAAAACTTTTGTCTATATACATTTTCACTGATCATTGTTATGTCTTTCTAGCGCCGGCAGAACATGTATCTGGATACAGAGGCAGCCAGTACAATAACTTCAACTGATCACCTATCTCCTCCTTCTACTCTGTCTAGACTCTCTGATAGTGATATATCAGAGTTTGACCTAGATGAAGGCAGTAGTCTTCTGAGAGGTGATTCTTTTATATTCTTAGTTCTTTCAGTATTTATGCTTTAGTTCAGCCATTATATGAATTTTTCTTGCTATTACCTAACCAGTAAGACATACCTGTAAACCAGAGGAAGAAATTGATGGTTTTATTATAAAAGATCTTGATGTGTTTTATTATTTGATTAGTAATAGTTGTCTAGATATATCTAATAATACACACTGACTTGAATGTTTTACAAGCAATTAATTCATGTATATATAAGCTGTTTGTTAGATATACATGACTGTTTTAATTTAAGTATAGAGTGAGTGTCAAATTTAGTTATTTTTAGAAGTGATGGTTTATTGCAGGTTTGTTTATGCAACTGTATACGAACTATACCTTGTGCACTTCAGTTGTTGTGAATTTGTGCTTATTGTATTATTATGTTATGTTACTTGAACCTTCTGAATTTTTCTTGTTGCTTTAAGTAAGTATTGTTGCATCATATATCTAGTAGTGTGTGGAATGTTTGAGACTGATGTTGTATGTGTATATATATGTGTCAAAAAATTAGTTTGATATATAGTAAGTAAGACAAATCAAGTTATGTTAGTAAGTTAGATAGATTGATAAACAGATATAGACTGTTTGTTAGTTTAGCCATAAAGAGCTTATATTGGCAATTATGAAGTGGATTATCACAGATTCTATTGTAATAATAGAATAGAGAAGAAATAATTTGTCTTATCAATTGTGTTCTAAAGTAATTGAACAAACCTGTGTGGACTTTGACAAAAAGAAACAATTAATTAAAGCTTTGGATACAACTATGGAAACCAGTGGTGTAACTTAAGTGACATTATAACCAATTGTATTGTAATAACAGAACACAGAAGAATAATTTGTCTTGTCAATTGTGTTCTAAAGTAACTGAACCAGCCTGTGATGACTTTGACTGAAAGAGACGATTATTTAAAGCTCTGGATACACCTGTGCTGATTAACTGTGTAACGAACTTTTGTATATACATTTGACTTGTTTTAATATATTATTTCAATACAAGTAGACTGTGTGCTGTTTGCTTATTATAGGGATTTATCACTAACAAGTCACAGACACCAACTGTAAAGAATCCTGCCTATAAATATGTAAAAAGCTGATACTGTTCTTTTTCATCACCGTGCATATTTTTGTCTGTTTTTGCTCATTGCAGAAGCTTTTTTTTTTATGAACTAAAATGTTGATTATTATAGTCTTATTAACTTGGCAGATCGTCGTCTAGCTGGTGTAGATGGTGCTAGTATTAGCTCTCTAGGGAGTAGTTCCAGCCCCCCACTGGTTAGAGAAGAATTTGGCAATATCATGGAACGCAGATCTAGGCGAGATATGTCACCTAGTGGTAGAAGACAATCTGGAACAAGTATGTGTTCATTGCAGTTAACAGTGTTTAATGATTTTGATAATGAAATTAAAAAAGATATTGCATTACAGAAATAAGGGAAAAAATTGAAATAATGATGAACACACCAAAAATTGTGGTGGACTCTGTTTAGTTCATTGCAGAAGTTATAATTTTCTACTGTCAAAAACATTATAAGTTGAAAGGATAAATGGTGTCCCCAGGTGGAACAGCAGTAAATTTACAGACTTACAATGCCAAAATCTGGGGTTCAATTCCCCAACAAAATAAACAAACAAACATGAATAAATGGCAATAAAACAAAAAAAAAGTTTAAACTGCACTTTAGAATAACCTGCCGGACTTGCAATTAAATATAATTCAAATATTTTGACAGTGGAGATAATACTTAATTACCCATTCTCTATGGTTAAAAGTAAGACTTCATGAAGTAATTATACTGTTTTGGAAAACTAATATCATTTATAAAGTATAGCAAATACCAAGTGTTTGTGTGTATGGATACAAAAATAATATTTAACAAAGTAACTGTTTATGAAAGAATATAAAGCAATGCATCTCACCAAGTACTTACTTTTGTTTGAATGAAATTCATACAGTAGATATGTTTGTAAATGAAATTTGTTGCAACCCTCTCACTTCTGGTTTTATGTGATACCATACATTCTTAGCACAACATTACATCTTTATATTAAAAATGTAAATGTAATTCTCATCTGTTTTGATAAGTTTTACATTAGAAAACTGTAAAAATGATATTTTAGTATTATATAATGATTTACTTTATAAAGTATTATAAACAAACAGTCAAAAATCCAAGCTTTTATTTTTCTAGTATCTGTAGTCACCTGAACTGTATACTGTCAATTTGTATTTTATGATGACTGATTCTAGAACATAGATTTGTTTGTACCAATAAACTGTTGTATTACAAAGAAAGTTATATAATTTCTGTCTTCTGAAGGCAGAAGAAGCTGATCTATGAATTTACTGGTTGAGCTTACATGTACAATACCCTCCTCTAGGGTCTTGACAAATAAACGTGTACTTTGGCTTTTAGAATATATGTGTTCCCACAACTATATTTCGTTATGAAGGGGAGGAGTTAAGCTTCAAAACAATGTAAAGGTTTTTGGTGACATTTTTCTAGATGCTGATACTTGATTTGTGTTATAATTATTTGCTTCATAATTATTTTTCTGTATCAAGAATTCAGGCAAAGATAGTTAGCAACAAACATAACCTAAATTATTATATAATGGGATATGATCATAGGCCATTATTGACCATACAGGATTCATTTATTTTTTATTGTAGCATTTCTTAAACTTTTTCTGTCTAGGACCATGTGTTATGAGAGTGAACAATCAAGATCCTGCCATTTGCAAATCAATAGAGGATAACTGTAATGTATTAAATATAATTTAAGAACAACAATGGACCTATTGGCCCTTCTGGGCCATCCCATCCATTAAACTATACTTTAAAATTAAAATAAATGCTCAAAGTCAGCCTTTATCATTCAAATATTTATCAAGCATTAAACTTCCATAAATTTACTGCATCCATCATATCTGAAGGCAACCAATTCCAAAAGCCAACCTCCCTGTTAGAAACCTACCCTGCCAGAATTTATATTTGTTCCTTGGTCCTAACCATTCTCACCATTAAGTATGAAAAAAATGATGCATCAAGACTATCAGTTCCCTTAACAATCTTAAAAACCCCAATCAGATCCCCTCTGACTGTTATTTTTTTCAAGAGAAAACAATTTTAGATATCTTAACTTATCCTTGTATGATAACCTTTCCATCCCAGGTATCATTTTAGTAGTCCTACTCTAAACCCTTTTTAATAATTCAATGTCTTTTCTAAGGTGATGAGCCCAAGACTGAACATAATATTCTAAATGTGCCTCTACAATAACATTATAACCTCTTTGGACTTGTATTCAGTATTTCTGAAGATTCAACATAAATTCTTATTTACTATGCCACAAGCAACAGCACACTGCTTGGATGACTTAAGGGGCTGATCAACCAGAACACCAAGGTCTTTTTTTCTTACATAACACTGTTAAGGTTATTCCCATCAAAATTATACTTAAAACTCAAATTACAATATTCCACATGCATTACCTTGCATTTATTATAAGTAAAAACCCATAGCCATTTATTTTCCCAATTCACCAAATAATCCAAATCCTTTTGTAAATCAGCAGAATCTTCCTCGCATCTAGCAACACTGAAAATTTTAATATCATCAGCAAATTCAAGTAATATGTTGACCATTCCTTCATCTATGTTACTGATGTAAATCAAAGAGGAAAGGTCCTAACACTGAGCCCTAAGGTACTCCACTTTTGACATTAATCTAGTGTGATTGAACTTCATTTATGACAACCTCTGCTTTCTTTCATCCAGCCAGTTTTCTATCCAATGAGCCAGTCTATCCCCCACACCTACAGATATGATATTTTAACAAGTATTTTATGTAGTACTTTGTCAGATGCTTTCTGAAAATTCAGATACACCACATTCACACCTGCACCCTCATTTACATAAGCAGTAACCTCTTCAAACAATATCAAAAGATTCGTAAGGTAAGATTTTCTCCTCGTGAAACCATCTGTACTATCCAACAATATTTTAAACTTTGTTAAATTGCTTTGCAAAGTATCTTTTATCAGCCTTTCAAAAAACTTTTTCCACCACTGACCTAAGTCTAATAGGGCTATAATTACTGGGACAGTTTTTATCACCTCCCTTAAAAAGTGGAGTAACATTAGCCAACTTCCAACCTTCTGACACCTGCCCATATCCAAAGACTTATGAAAAATAGCAGCAAGTGGCTCACATATCCAATTGTTAGATTGATCAGTACCTCAAATTAATTCATTTGCCCAATTCACAAGAGATAATTCTTGTTGCATCAATTCAAAATTAGCTTTTTTTTTAAGTTTGTTACCAAAATCTCATTATTCCTTCCTTGTCTTCATATGCAGCAAAATGTCCAACCTAATTGAACAATGATCATTCAGATGTCCCCCAATCTTTACCCTTTCAACAATTTCTATATTAGAAGTTAACAATAAATCTAAAATAGAATTGTTCCTAGTAGGTTCCCTGACTAATTGGTGAAGAAAACCATCCAGAACAGTTTCTAAAAACCTGTCTCCCTCATGATTTGATTCTACTATTTCCCAATCTATATGCCTGAAATTAAAATCTCCTGTAATTATACCTTCATTGACAGTTGAATTCTTCATTTGACTCTAGATTTTTTTCGTTTATTTCATCAGTTTCATCTAGTGGTCTGTAAAACATCTAAAAAAATGCTAGTACAATAGTACAGTTCTACACTTACAATTCATTTTTAGATTATTTAATAACTTTAAAACACTCTATCACTTAACATGTTGCACCCTAAAAAGATGGGCTAGATTACGGCCTAGTGCATATTTAGTGTACCTGGACTGTGAACCTAAGATTTCATAGTTCACATAGTTCTGTTGGCAAAAAAGCACATTCTGTACTTAAGAGCCATGGGTGCATTGTAAAAATGATGGTCGAATCCCATTATTCGTCAGACAAGAGGAGCTGAAAACTTGGCAGTGGATGTTGTTAACTAGCTGTACCCCCCCCCCTCTAGTCTATCATTTCAAAATTAGGAATGGTTATGATCATATAGCACATGTGTAGCTTTTCACAAAAATCTGAAATGCTTTCCCTGTAGTGCATCTAGATGACAAAAAGGTTGAGAAAATGAAGGAACTCTTTCTTTGAATATATTAGTGTATACAAAAACTTCATAAAGATTTTTGCCTCTTTTCTACTACTTTGTGATAACCCTACCCACAGGTAGTCGAAAGTTTGAAAACATTGTTTACTGGGTTATGTAACCTTTCATCGAAAGTTTGAAAACATTGTTTACTGGGTTATGTAACGTTTCAGTGGGAAAAAATATATACCAAAGGAAAGAAAGTAATATTATAATTTTGATAAATATAAAACAATTTTAAAACTGATTGAATATATGGAATGGAACATTCTGATCAATAATATAAAAAAATTCAGAATTACTTATTTTTCAGGTAAGGGATCATAAGTAAGTTACATATCCTGTATGACATTATTAGAATAAAAACAGAAAATTTGTAATTTTATTAAAATATTTATTGGATACATTTACAATGTTATAGGCTAATAAATACCTTAAAAAAATAGATTAAATAAATGTATTTAGTCTGTATTTGCTGACATACCTGTTCAATGCACCCGGAAGAAAAAGATGGTCAGATCCTAATGCCATTCTGCTACATCACTCCTTGGGGGACCATAAGGGTGCCTTCAAAGGTTTGGTGGAGATCAGTAGAATAGCACAGAAATTACATAGGGGCCTTCAGTGAGTGTGGGTGACATAGTGGAGTCAGATTTTAATGATGTCTCACATATGTTGCTTCCCAGGGAGTTACAAGAAGAGTAGATGCTAAGGTGGTTGAAATTGGTTAAAAGTCAAAAACTATAGCAATAAAAGGTGTATAGACAGATAGTGGCCACTCAAGGAATAACATGGGATTGTAAGATAAGTACATCAACCTCCTGTGACACACCCTGGTGGGGTGGTTCCTAAGGGTTAATTCATGCAAAGGTTGTTTGATACTGATCAAAAAGTGTAGGCACGGAATGTGAATACACAGATGAAACTTCTGCTTTATATATGTGTAAATGAAAATAACATTTCGTGGCAAAATTTTGTAAGTTCCAAAAACTGATAGAAAGAAAAAATCAAATTATATGATTTTTATTTGCATAGATATCTGATAGTATTTGGAAGCCTTATTACAAGTTTCATGCAACTTGATTTGGTTGTTTTAAGTTGTGACCTTGAAAAAACAGATGCATCAAATCAATGCACTTAGTCTCCATTGTTATTGAAAGAGTTGAAATTCAAGTGGCAAAATTTTATTATGAATTTGTGTTGTTTACACAGTTGCCACTCGAAATGAACTAGTTTATGATCAAAATGGAAGGGGCCCAGTGATAATGACTGAAAATATTCCACCTACGCTGTCTGCAATCAGGGGACGCTCTCGATCAGCAGTACACCAAAATGAAAGCAGAATTTCAAGATCAAGATCTCCATCCAGAAGAGGAAGTGAAGGAACTACGAGGTCATTATCCCCGCCAGAAATTAGGTATTCTGTAGCAGTTTATTACATGTTTAAACAATCTTTAATAGTCTAAGTTCCTAATTATTATGGCTAATGTAAACTATACTTTTTTCAATAAATTAAAGAAAGTTGTTATGTAATTAAGCTATCTCATCTTCATACATATGAACTCTCTAACTGTTATAACTAAACTTAATTTAGTAATCACAAAATAGTTTGTAATTAGTATGTCATATCTTTATCTCATCATTAACTAAAAGTATGTTATGCTAATTTTATGTTAAATGCTTAACCATATGTGTCAAGGTGTGGGTCAAAGTGCACATGCCATGACCTTTTACATAGTACACTCACTATGGTATTATATATTTGATGTCAGAGTATCAACTTTACTCTATGTGGCTGATTTAGTGACAGTGATAGAAGAGAGTAAATACCAGATACAATATACTGAAAAACAAATACTGTAGATATGCATTTCAGATGCTTTAGAATTTATGCAAATGCAATATAGAAATTAAATGATGGAAAAAAAAATTTTTTTATTCATTATGTGAACATTATTTTGCACGTCATGAATTTACAGACATATTTTGAGTACAAAGTACGTTTTTAACACATGAAATATTTTTAGTATACCACAGACTTATATATTTTATTAAAAGCTTACCACATTTTGTGTAGGTAAACGTAAAATTGGAATTATAAGCAACATTTCTTCTCCAATATGGGGTCATTCCAATGGAACAACTCCTTACACATACAGTTAAGCTAGGTACAGAATACAGTACAATTTTTAAATTTGTTCTATCTTTCAATTCAAATATCTTTCTTAATTTTTGTAATGAGAAAGCAATAATAAAACAAAATAGATTGATGAAGGTATTAAAAATAGGTTCATCTAAAACTGAAGTGATGAAGAGAAAAAAACCTATCATTTCTATTATAAAAAGAAAGAATGCAGCAAACTGTTATCTGACTGGTTCCTTGTGTATAATAAGGTGGTCCTTATTGGCAGGTAAAATTTCAGGCTAAATATTCTGAAGCTCTCATCTCCTAATGTTGTTCCAATATACAAAAATAAACATTAAATGTCAAAGTTCATCCATTTTGGACCATATTTAAAGGTTCCTCCATGAGGCTGAAGTTCTAGACTGCAATGGCCTGATACTGTATGTACTGTGTGATATAAAACATATGTTTATGTGTTATAAATGATTTATTTAAAGTATGTTATGTATAGCATGTACAAAAGGATAGTTGCATAATTATATGATTTTGGTGTGTTTAGTGACTTTGTATTGTTATTGTTTCCTGTTAAGAAAGTGTCTTCTATGATCCTGCAGCACTTGAAGGAGGAGTTGTTACTGTTCTTCTTTCTTTGTTATGATGTCATTATACTACTCAATAAGGGCTACATCCCTTTCAGCATTTTCATTTACTACATTCAAGTATTAAACTGTCTATAGTGCCTCCCTGTAGTTCTCTCGGAGCTACCATGACTTGGAGTCATAATCCAAGAATCCTGAAGAAGTTTATCGTGTTCTTTGTGATAAAATCTTCAACTGACATGGCATCAGACTTCCTGATTATTCAGCTGGTAGCACTTTGAAAGTTCATCCATGCCTTCCTTCTCATTTATTGCCATTACCATTGCTTGTTTTGTCTCTGAATCAAAGAATCATTAAGAAGCTTGGTATCCAAGTGAACTACAAATGGGACTATTGACTTGAATTGTTCTTTTAGGTTTTTGAAAAGTTCTTCATGGAAGCAATGTTGAGATTTTTGGATTGAGAAACAGTTGATTGTTAGCTCCTTTACATCAGGACCAGCTGTGATCTGTGGCAGTAAGGATTAAATCTTGCCTTCCTGTCACTGAACTTGGTTCTATCCACAGCTGCTGCTAAATTGGGAGTGATAATATTTCTTCTTGCCCTCCTTTGTAGGTTTAGAAGGTGATGATTCTCCAATTGCTCCTCTATTCTCATCACTGTTATTGGTACTGTATCCATCACTGCTGTGGGATGATTCCCAACAACTGACAGTTTCACTCAAGGTTTGTTGTTCCTGCTCTGTGTGCTGTTTCCTGTCCATACTTTCCTCACTTTTTTTTTCTCAGTCCTTTATTTCTTTAAAGAAAAAACCTCATCTACCTGGCATCTGCATCCACAACATCCTCTTTCTCTCTGAACAAAAAAAAAGTCCTTGTCTTCTGGGATCTTGATCAGGGTCAGGGCATTCTGATGAGTGATGTTTAGTCAAAAAAGGTTATCCATATTATTGACAAACTGCTTCATTAGCTTGTTGTGTTTCAGTTTTTCTTTTGGAATTTCTTTAGCTTCTCCATTTTGATAATGCCATGATGTTCTGGACAAATTGGAATCTAAGCCTTGTTCTAAAAAGCTGCAGCCTCCTTGATCACAATCTTTGAACTTTCATGGACTGTCTTCTTTAATTTTTTGGGTTGGAATAAAACACTCACAGCACTTGCCTATTTGAAGGTAATTTTTTTTCTGTTAGTTCAGTTTCTTATGAACCAAGCAACCAAAGTGTAGTCTTATTTCTTGTTGCAGTATCCACTTGCAATGATATGATGTGTCAGCTGAAATGATACAGGAGAATCTGCTTAAGTGCTTATATACCCTCACAGAAATTCTAGAAACTACTGTCATGCCATACAGAATATTCCACAAGTAAAAAGTAACAGTGTGGATTATTTATATATGGAATGTTCTTGAACATTCTGAATAATGTAGAATACTCTAAAATATTTCAAAATATGCTATGATATTCAAGAATGTGCTACAATATTCCTTAATAATATACTAGAACATTTTAGAATATGCAGATATAATCTGAGTTACAAGGTAAAAATTTCAAATACTTTGAGCACCCCTAAATGTTATTCAATATGGATAAAATTTGGTGTGAATTACTTATTTGTAAATCAAAATTTCAAAAATAAGGACTGCCCTAATGTATAGTCTGTGTGCATTACATTTCATAGCTAATCTGCATAGATTCAAAAAACTGTGGAAGTTTCAAATATTTAAACTTGTGCAGAGAATGCAATGTTTTGAATTACGTCTGTGCAAATGCTTTTACAGCTTCTGGGTTGTAGGTATTCTGGAGTCCAGGTGTCTTAATTTCATACACTTCACACAAGTAATTGGACTATATAAAATTTTTTTATCCATTTTCATTCCTGGAGAAACAAAAATATATAAATTACTTGTATTCCTTGAAACTCACTCATTATACTTATAACTTTTACAGTGACTGTAGTGCTTCTAATTGATACTGTGTAATGTGTTTCCTATAGATCGAAGTAATGGAACAATATTTTGAATAAATAAATAAATAGCCACTGATATTTGATTTCTATTAATATGAAGGAAAAACATTAAGTTAATTAGTTTCATGCTCTACATAAAAAATGTTTTCTTTTTTATGCATTGATTTTTCTAATGATATAATGCTTTATACATGTGTAATTATATCCAACATTTGTATAATTTTTGTTATTATATCTGTTGTTTTTAAAGTTAAAGAATATATTAGTATATAACTGCAAAATTCTTATTTTTGTAAAATATGCAAATTTTTGTTTGCAGTCAAAGTAAACTTTTTACATGAAAATATAATTTTATTTAAAAACAAATTTTGTTTGTTTGTTTATAGTTAAGAAAAAGCTACACAATGAGCTATCTGTGCTGCGTCCACCATGGGTATCAAAACATGTTTTTTTAGCATTATAATTCTGCAGGCTTACTGCTGTTACTGGAAGGCAACATATTCTGACGGATTAGTGCTAGAGCTGGATGATTAGTGGAATTGGATAATTGATTAATAATTGGCTCATTAATAGATAATTCTCATGAGACTTGGATATGGAATAACCTGAAATAGTAATAATTGGAAACACTAATTGTGATTAGTTTATTATTTTCATGAGTCATGACACTAACCTGAACAACCTTGAATTAATTGAGTATAATAATGAGAAATCATAAGGGCAATATTTCAATTACTTGGTTAGTTGGAATAATTGAAAACATTAAATTTGGTTAGTTGCTTATTTTTGTGACATTAATTGATTTAATCATAAATTGGTTAATTGATTATTGTAAGTGATACTAATCAGTGTATTCAATGCTCAGAGATAATCAAATTAATCTCCCAGCTGTGTTAGCTACATGATTGTTAAAACTGGGAACACATTGAATAAGAACTGGATTAAAACATATAGTTTATAAACTTAGAGACAAACATTTTGGTAGTAACTGTTGCTTTCTTCAGTATTGTATCATTGTTGGTGGTTGTAGAACAGTTGCTACAACCCCATGACATATATTCATTTAAAATAACAGGATTATATTTTATAGGAAGTTTTACAACAAATCTATACATTGTTTCATTGTTCAAGGTTTCTGTTTTTTACAGCTTTAGCTGTGATGTGTCTGGCTGTTTACTCAGTCAGATATAAAGATTGCAATTAAAATAGGATGTGAAAGAGCTGAACCATAGAACAGCTGTTTGTTCCCTAAATTAAATTCTTGTTTGCTTATATTGTGATAAGGGCTACTGATTAGGAAGATATGAATGCTTTTGTTTACCAGGTTAAGTTGTGGATAAAAATTTGGGACATTTTAATGCAAACCAAACAAAAATTAAATTTCATTTAACCTCTGGAATACTTCCATATAATTAACAGATTTATTATTTTATATCATGAGATGAAGTAAAACATCTGTTTGGCATTTTTAGATGTTAAGGTCGACATATCAGAAAATTATCAATTTTCAACTAAGACTTTTTATAAACAAGTGCATTTTACGTGCTAATTAATTACTGGAATGCTCAAAACTTTTTTCATTATGTTAGATACTAAGTTTTTTATATGACCTTCCAGGCCACATTCGCCAGTGATTGGTCCCCCCAATTTAGCCTGGCGGTATCCCTTTACAAGAGAAGGTTTCTCATCAAGTGTAAACTCTCCAAAAAAACGTCAGTTACCTGCCATTCCTCCATCTCTTCGACATACTTCCCGTAACCAAATGACGTTAGACCTAGAGGAAAGAGCCCGCCAGTTAAAGCTTCGGATGCAGATGCAACGGAGGGGAGGAGGTAAGGTTGCAATAGATATAGTCAGCTGAGAGTATTTAATTTAATTGGTTGAAAATTCAAAGTGCAACAATCAATTATGGGATAGTGAATATAATGAATATAAAATACAAATATTATGGGATTGCCCTCACTCCTACCATATGAAAATTAACACACCAGAGTATAGTCATGTGTTGATAGTTTACACTGTGTTTGGCTGTCATCCGACCAATAAGACAGTGTCATGCGAGCATAAAATCTGTAAAAATACAGCCAATCATACTATTTCCAGTATGAATTAGTGTGTTGAATACACTCATGGCTTCCAGAACAGTAATGCTATATATATATATATCACTGTCAACATACATAATCTACAGTGTTGCAGGCTGGGGGACCAATAGAGATGTGGGCAGAATTTAGCCAGTAGTGATGGAGATCTACAAAAATATGATGGCACCATGATTTAACCTATTGTGCAGGGATTCATTGTTCGACAAGGCAGTGATCTCAAGCATGTGGCAGATATAATGAGACAATACACAGAAAGAAAAAGTGGCCAGTAGAACACTTGCAACTATGGATTGGCCTGGACATTGATATGAATACTACTAAGCCTTTATTGAAACTGAGGAAGTTAAATGGCAACAAAACATCTTGGCTGAATTGTCAGAACTAATACAACTTTTCAAACAATATTTCACAATAATATATATTGATAAAGTTAAGGTAGTATAAAGACGGTGTACTGTTCTGTTTAAAGCAAATACAAAACACTAGCACATTGTACAACTCATTCACTTTTCTCTTACATTTTCTATAGTAATATATTGTACTAAAATGATAAATTGACCATGTAGTTGCATTTACTGATTATTTGTGACTTCTGTATATATATTAGTTTTGGGTTTACATCTAAGATTCTATATATCTTACGCATCAGTCTTATATGTTATGTTTCCATATTTTATCATTAGCTTTTTAAACTGTTAGATTTCAAAATAGACTCTCTTATTTTTCAAAGATGTGTAATATATGTTATACATCTCTCATAGCTTATATTAAATTAAGAACTCTTCTTTGTGCTTATATATGTAATTGTTCAACTGTAACTATCATTGTCAAAGTAATATAAAATTCTTGAATATAGTATTTTCTGTGAGGGAAAACAAAGAAATTACTTTTTATTTTTACATAATAGAATATTTCTAACTAGTTGGAGTACTCGTCCCCTGGACAGAAGTTATGTAAATGTATGATTAATGAAAGGTTATCTTAGGACATGAAAAGTTGTTTCCCTTATATGTAATTGTGAAAAATGCCCATAACAACTGTAAAACACAAAATGTGAAACTGCAAATTTGCATGTATCTCTGCATGGACTCAACAACCATTCATGCCAAATTTGGTGAAGATCCATCAACAGGGGTCGAAGTAGTGGTAAAAATACTCGTAAAACTGCTAAGTGTAAAATGGATAACTTGAAGTTTGTATATATCTCCCCATGGACCCAATGAACCTCCATACTAAATTTGGTAAAGATCCACTAACAGGGGGCAAATTAATAATAAAAAACACAAAAATGTCCATAAAATCCATAAAACTGAAAATTTGTATGTACCCCCGTATGTACCTAATGAACCTCCTTACCAATTTTGGTGAAGATCCATTCACAACCTGCGAAGTAGTTACATGGATATACAACAGACAGTACTATTATTTTTATATAGACTCCAACTTAGTGCATGCTATGGTAATACTTAGAATATTACCCTGTTTATACAACTTATGTTTCACTAGTTGCTGCCTCAAAAAATATTAATGCACAATCCTATACAAATATCGAAGGTGAAGTTATTCATCTGTGCTTTTATAAACTTAATCAGAACTTTTCTCTAGTTACCAACTAGGTTTGAGTAACCATCTTTTCTTACAGTCTTAATAATAATACATTATTATTAATAGTTTAGTTATATATATAATCACCATTCTAACAATGTTCTACATCTCATTCATAATACTTGATTATTTGTTATCATTATCCTTTATTTATTTATGCTACATGATTCTGATTACTTGTGTAATCAATAAACATATCAGCTTCAGTTTTATTTTATAGTGAGGCCAAGTTATTGATTAACTATCTTGATTACATGTCTAATCAATAAACATATCAGCTTCAGTTTTATTTTATAGTGAGGCCAAGTTATTGATTAACTATCTTGATTACTTGTCTAATCAATAAACATATCAGCTTCAGTTTTATTTTATAGTGAGGCCAAGTTATTGATTAACTATCTTGATTACTTGTCTAGCTATAACACCTGTAGCCATGTACTCTGATAGTGAAGTCACTTCTAGAAATGCTGTCGAGAAACAACTTCACGTTCATCCCCACAGAGGGCGTTTACAGCCAGGTGCTATGAAGGGCAGTAGTCGTCACATGTCACCTGGAGTAGGAATGAGCCCTGAAAAAGAGACAGTTGAAATGATAACAGGAATTGAAAGTGATGGATCAGAGACAAGCTCAGTCTCCAAATTCAGCATTAATAGTGCCTTCTCAATCCAGTCAGAGCGTCCCAGAGGAAGCCGTACTCTCAGGTAAACTATCTACTAAACTTTAAAATTAGGAGTGAGAAAAAAATGTTTTTTGACAGATGTGCCAAATCTGCTTTCTGAAGAAAAAGATATTTTTTTATCATTTAAAGATCCTGAAAGTATGTTTTGAATATCTTAAGATTTTTCTATATCATTTATATGATCTGTTTTGTTCATTATAGATATTGATTTAAGTATTCTCTAATTATTAACCATAAAAGTGTAAACTATTTTTCAGGTAAACAGTGTAATATTATTGTATACTAAAATAATTATTTTTTAAAACTGATAACAATACTAAAAGAAGTGAAATATAGAAATTTCAACAAAATGGTAACACTGGAATCTAGTTCCTTTATATATTTATGTAAAGATTTTTCAATTACTGTGTTTTAGGTTTTGCACTTAAGCTGTTGCTACATTTGTAAACTTGTGTTTAAAAATAATATAATAATCAGTATTCAATGGGAGTTATGTTTTTCTTCAATGATAACAAGTTATCTTAGATTGTATGCAAAGAAACATTTACTCTTTCAGCAATACTTCATGGTTACAATTAGCAGTTATCATTTAAAAACCTGTTAGTCTGTGTATAATAAGTATCATTTGTTAGTGAATTCACCACAAGAATGCAGGGCTATGGACCAGTTCACCCACCTCGACCTGTAAGGAGAACTCTCAACCGAAGTCTCAGCAGTGAAGGTGGAAGTGATGAAAAAGCAGATGGCAGTCTTTCTGATACTGCAGTAGGCACTATAACAGAAAAGGCTGGAATGTTAGAACAACATGGAGCTCCTGGGAAGAGCTGGGGAGGAGGTAAAATGGCCCAACTTATGGGCTTATCTAAGAAAAGTAGCAGCACTTCTCAACTAAGTGTGACAGGTAAGAAGAGAGATCTTTGTTTTGTTAATTCTTTATGCTCTCATCAAGTGAGCATAGAAGAACATATAAAGCATAATATGAATATTTCTAATTTTCATTTGATTTTCCTTTTTACTATGTGAGTGTTATGAAAATATTGTTAAACATTTCACCACCAACTGAAGTGATTTAGGTTTTATGCTATAGAATATTTTACTATACATTTGCCTATAAAAATTAAACATATTAATGACAGTGCATCCGCATATTATATATTTTTAAAAGTTAGAACATTTATCTACTCATTTTATTATACCAAATTTTAAAAATAAAACTCAATAAATCTTGATGAATGATTTTAACACTGAAAGAGGCACCAGTTAATCCAACATTTAAAATATACTCAAATAATTAACATCAATAGCCAAAATCTGTGCATGCCTTCTTCAACAAAGTATTTAATTATTAACTGTTTTGTGCATTCTTCACAGTAACACCATATTTCCACTTATAGGTTATTGTGTTCCTAATATGATGTCCTAAAATCTCTGTCTAACTTTTCTGTCTTTTTTTAATTCAAAAACTCATTCTTTAAATTTAAAAAGTTTAAGCTTTACTCATTGTAGCATCAATGAAAGCTTTGTAATCAATGAAATATGTGTTAACCATTTAGATAAAAATGTTAGAAATATACACAGGTATAAAATGTTAGACAGCCCTAAATCTTGAACTCCAAACTATTATTTCATTCAAGAAATAATAATCATAAATAATACATTACACTAAAAGGTAATATCTACTGTATTCATTGATACATTAATAAATTATTGCAAAATATGTCCAAAAAAAGTGATCAAAATGACTGTTCTGGTCTTTATATCTAACAGTTTGTGTGAAAAATAAATTCCTTACTCATCATAAGTTTTGAGGAGACATAACTGTGAATTTGTAACAGGATAAAGCTTGGATTAGAGAAGCAGATGGAGCTATTAATACTGAGAAAAGATGGACTGAATAATACAGCATTTAAGGCTGAATAATTTCTTATAGGTTGAGACATGCTTTGGGTTATACACTTGTATCTACAGGATTATGACAGTGTAACAACTACTTTTCTCAGGTTGATGTTTTAACGATTCATTATTTCACAAAGACAGAATAGGCACATAATTGTAGTAATTTCTGCCTCATTGTAGAGAAGGATAATTTTAATTTTGTTCCACTTGTGTGATATTAAAGGTAGGTATAAATACAGGTCCTATTAATATTAACTTCCAATCACAGCCAGCTAGGTACTTAGAGAGAAACAAAAAATTATTAACATGGTACTCAGTATAGCTAATTAAGTAGTTTTCTTACATTTCTACTTGTAAAGATTATAATGCATTTTTTTAACAGTTTGATACCCTCACTGTTAACAATATTTTTAACCTTAATCTCAAAAATATCACAAGATTCAGTCAGCTTAGGAGATTTAGGTTATTCCTAAATATATAGTGTATTAAGTTAACAATGCAAAACGATCTCCATAAAAAAAAAGTATAAAAATAAAAAATTTAATTAAAAATAATGGCATTCAATATATTAAATGGTATAACCAATATTTTTAATGAAAGTAACAATAAATATTTGTTTACATGCCCATTGTTGTTAAACTCAGGTATTAAACAATCATATTGTTTTTTATATTTTTAATAATATATTTATTTTTTGTGCAAATTGATAGAAAAGTAATGAAGTTTGCTACATATTTTCATAGATATTAATGGCTGAAACATTTAAGCTGTAGCTTTAAAAATTATGTGAACCATGACATTCATTCCCTGTATTGTGAGAGTACACACATATTCTTGTTCCATGTTTTAAAAAATGATTCCCTGTATGGGATTTACTTATTTTTTAACTGCCACTATCATCAAATTTGTTGAGTTTTATATACCCTATCTCAATACTTCTATAGGGTTTTAAATAGCCCCTGTGTTACACTCAAGTAAAACTGATTTTCTCTAAAGCAGTGGGATAGGTCAACTGAATAATAGGAGATTCAGTAAGATATATTTTACAGAGTAGGTCTGAATTTATATGAAACTGACTGAGTATATGAGAATGAAGTAATAGCAAACACAGTGTGTAACCTTGAGGCACCACTGCACCCAACACTGAAGGACACTATTTTTGACATCTTGGCACAATGTGCAGCATTACAGCCATACCTTACCCCCCTTGTGAGCAGACCAAATGTTACCTAAGAGAATGGAAAAAACAATAGCAGCTAGAATGAAAGCAACGTAATGACTTTCATGATCCTGTTAAGTGAAAACTGCATATGCCACAATGAATAACTAAGTCTGAAAAACATTATATTAAAATAAGAAGGTAGAAAATGCATTGTATGCTTATATAACACCTCTTTACTTCAGGCTTATCTTCAAACTGTCAATTAATTTTAACATTAAGGCCAATAAAACCTATATACACACACACACTGGTCAAAGTTACAAGACAGTAACAAAATAAACCCACTAAAAAAGACTACAGATAACATTTAAATACAGTACAAAATACAGAAGGAACATTTTGATATAAAACATTACAATATAGTAATCCTTACTGCATGGCATCAGTTAATTATGCATGTCACAACAGTTTACAGAGTTACATTCGAAAATTAACATAATATTTTGGGACAACATGGGACCTATTGGTCCATCTCGGCTGTTCCATCCTCGTAAACTAAATTAAATGACTAAAAATATATAAAATAAAACATTTTAAACCCAGTCTCTTTCATTCATATACTTACCAAGCTTTTTCTTAAACTCACTTAAAC